CCTTCAAGAAAACCTGTATTTTAATAATAATATAATAATTAATAAAGAAATGCACGAAGCAGTTAAGTCCCGATTGCTGGTTTCTGCTGCTCTGCCCTGTGTCCTCATAGTCCCCGTCATGCAGGAAATACAACTCTTTCAAACCCTTTACTAACCCCTTATTCTTGAGAACTTTGCCATATCTACATGAATGAATTTCCCTTGATTTTATAGGAAACCCTTTTCATGTATTTGTGTTTTTATGTTATCCAGAAATTCACACCACATAACCCCCGTTCACACCTGAGCGTTTTGTTGTGTGTTTCCCAAAGCGCGACTGCTCAAAATAAAGAATTCTGTTCTTGTCAATGGTGCTGTGTAACTTATAGTTTGAAGCTCAAAAAGTACATGAGCTTCTTTTCGGGCAGGATCGCATGTTTTTGGCCCCAAAAACTGCACTGGGAGGGCCTAAAAAAATGTGCATGAAATGCGTTTTATTGCCTTTAACCCCCCCCCCAATTATTGCTTTCAATTGCCTAAACCAAAAACACTGAAGCCTGAAAACACCTGAAAATGTGCACATAAATTCATAAGCACCTGAAAAATGCTCCCGCTCATGTGTGAATGGGGCCTCACAGCCTATTTTATGAAGCAGGCATTGTGACTTTCACTGAACATTCTCTGGTGGAGAATTGATCACCTTCACTTAAAACGCATGGACTTGGAAGATTCTCCTACAGAGAATGTTTTCTGCCTGCCAGATTCATTGCTTTATAAATATGCCTGTTATTGATTTCACATTAAGCTATTTGGTTCCTAGAAAATATATTGCAGGGTTTCATTTATTTGCCATCAAATATTGATTAGTTTAGTGGATATTGAAATATTATTACTGTCTAAAAAAACTGACAATGACATTATTAGATATTGTAAACTCTTTGGGGGGATTTCTCAAAACTGGAGCAGTTGCACATAACAACCAATCAGTTTCTTTCTTCGGTTTGTTCAGTTAAACTCTGAAAATGAAAGAAGCTGATTGGTTGTCATGGACAACTGCTCCAGTTTCTGCTTGCTCTAGATTCCCCCTATTGTGTTTAACACGCACTATAGACAGGTGACACACAATTCCCTGCTTTAGATCTGTTGTGTTTAATCACATAGAATTCTTTCTAATGTATTGCTTTTTCATGCATTTCCCTGATTCAGGATACATGTATTCTCTGTATAGTTATATAAATGTATATTTTATCTTTCAAGTCTTAAAGAAGATCTCCAGGAAATGTAGAAATGAAATCTTGCAGTGGGGCCACCCCTGTGCTGCAAGGGTTAACTGCTCGTCTAAGGGCTAAAATAAAGATGCAGTCACCCGATCCTCTGTCCTGCAGTGGTCAGTGCTCACCTGCCTCTACCCCAGGGGTGGTATGTCCCCCTCAGCGTCCTCATGTCTAATGCAGCTGCATTAGGGCTGGTGCAGACCTGGGCGCCCCGGGACCGCACGATCGTGTGCAGTTACACAGCTGATGCCACGCAGCCACATTGATTTCAATCTGGTTACATCTGCGTGGCAATTGCAGGAAAAAGGTACATGTACCTTTTTTTTTTTTTTGTTGCGACACACAACGTGCGGCCGTGATCGTGTATCGGTCTAGCTGCAGATCGGGATAGAGGATCAGGTCAATATATCTTCTTTATTTTAGCCACCGCACCAGTGGTGGGCAACTCCGGCCCTCCAGCTGTGTTTTTAAAGAAGAACTCCAGGAAGATTTTTTTATTAACCCATGCAGTGACGCTACCCTGGCACTTCAAAGGGTTAAGCGTTTGTGTCTAGGTGCTAAAAAAAAAAAAAGTTACTCCCCAGACCATCCGAGTCGGCTTTTTCTTAGACTGGTGCTTAGAACATCTCTCCCCCTCTGCCGCAGCGGTCTAAGAATCCTCATGTCCTTACACTCTATACACTGTGCACAGACTGAGTATAGACACGAGGTCGCTGAGGAGCAGTCCATCTGCTTTTTAGCACCTAGAAACAGCAAGGGTTAATAATAATTTTACCAGGAGTTCTACAAATCCCAACATGCTGCTCCCTCTGGAGGTCTTGCTCGGAACTGTTAGTCTCGCAGTACCTTATGGGACTTGTAGTTTCACAACAGCTGGAGGGCCAGAGTTGCCCACCCCTGTCTTAGACCAAGCTGAGCAGTTAACCATTGCAGTGCAGGGCTAGGCCCACTGTAAGGGTTAATTCATACATTTTCTGGAGTTTTAACCAATAATGCATTGCAGCATTGCGCTGACAGCAGACACACAGCTGGCAGGTTTACAGTAGAAATCTGAAACACTGGAGATCTTTCATGTTATCTTTTGCTTGTATCTCCATCTGTAGAGGGCAATGCGATGGTTTCCGGGAGGGGATGTGGAAAGATCTGTGCTCTTCTACTGTCCATATTGCTCTGCTTCCTGATACTTCTTAATTGTGTTCTATAGCGTTGGATCCATCCTGCAGAGAGGTCCCGAGAGGGAGCAGAGGCTTCGTTCTAGACCTGGGAGAAGACTTGGGAGGTCTGCAGTTATTGGTCACACTGGTGCATACTGTATATATGTCTGTGTGTGTGGGAAGAGGAGCGTGGGAAGCGGATCGTTCTCGAGAAGGACATGATTGGAATAACCATTGGGCTGGCTTCCTAGTTTTGCCTCAAACTACAAGACGCTGGCAGGAGCAGGCACATGAATGCACACTCATTTTGGTGGATATACTTTTTTGATATACAAGCATTATTTTTTACTACGTTATGTTCTAAGAATAAACTTCTTGGTCCCATCATCTTTTTTTCCTCCTTGTTTTGGATTTATCCTTGGATTTAAAAGCCAGACATTTCATTTATCAATGTTACCTGTGTCGGTTGAGCGACACAAGGTTGAAGAGGCAGAGAGCATCTAAAACCTGTTTCTGATTAATGATACATGGAGCAGTGCTAATGTTGCAAGAAGCATCTTGAAGTATTGTTTAGTCACTCCAGTGCAAAATCATATCTGGGCAAAATGGGGTAAGTCCCTTTTTTTTAATTATCTTTCTTTATTAATTTAAAAAAAAAAAAGATATTTTATCTTGGTTTTATAGTGGTTTATTCCTGTTGTCCATATTGTATGATTAATCTTTTTTGCAGTCTAATATAAAAACAGTATATATTTTAAAGTGAAATTGCTGAAATAAAATTCCTTGTGTATGTAGATATCTGAGGCATCGGCACGCCACCTTGAAAGGGTTCTCATGTAGTTTGGCCGTTAAGGGCCTTTAACCATTTTTCTTGCCGTTTTTGCATTTGTTTGCACACATGCTATAATCCATATTTTAGCCCCCCCAAATTACTTAAACCCCCCAGAATGATATATTTCCTGAAAGCAGAGACCCTGTAAAGTAAAATGGTGGCAGTTGGAAATTTTTATGCTGCGCAATATTAGCGCACCTCTTTATCAAACCCAAAATTTCAGTAATAAATACACTTAAAGGAGAACAATGAGGAGTGGTTTTACACTCATCCTCATAGTTCGAGCTGACGTTGAGCTCTATTGATCAGGAAGTGAGCAAACGCATACTGTAGCTCACTCACTTTCCGATCATCTCCCTGCAGAGAGCGGTGACTGTCAGTCACCCCTCCCTGCATGGATTCCCCTCTTGGATCCTCCAGAACTGACTGGAGGAATGGAGAGAGAAGGGGGCTGGCTCAGCTGGCTCTGCCTCTAGATAGGCAGAGCCTGCTGTCAATCTGCCAGCTGGGTGAATCCATATAGTATTGTCAGGATCCTTCCCGGCTGTGGCGCTCTCAGTATACAGCGAGCTATACCCAGCTATATACTGAGCTTTGGGTCACGGGAGGACGTTAGTATATGTTCTCCCATGACCATAAAGAGAACTATGGCATAAAAAGGTTACCCCATAATTCTCTTAAGTTAATTCTAGTGCACAAAAACACAACATAATGCCCACTTCTACCCTAAAATATTTTTTAAGTAATAACATTTTTTATTGATTTATCATAAATATCAGCATATAAACAGTAAGCAGCCATTTACATATATCCCTGTACATATGCATATTTCCCCCTTATACATGTCTACGTGTCTTTATAAATGCACTTGCATCCTGGATATCATATTATATCTCTTATAGTGTTATTCTCGCTCATTATGACTGCATACTTTAATATAATTCCTTTATATATCTATATTTACCCCCCCTCCCCACTTACTCCCCTATCCCCCTCCCCCTCCCCTAATACCCCTCTCCTCTGCATTCATGAAAACCTTTAATCTGATATTCTCCGTTATATTTCTATATTGCTTGAAGTGTCTCCTTTTAAGTCTTTAGATTTAAATATCTTTAAGTTTCCCCCTTTGTCATATTCCTCCATCTACGTTCTTGTCCTTATATCTATTCCAGGGTTTCCACATAACCTCCCACTGAGAATGTCTTTCATCAATGTGTGCCGTTAGCTCTTCATATCTTTGTATCTTATTTACTTCCATGGCCCATTCCTTAATATTTGGAACAGTATGTGTGCTCCAATATCGTGGGATCAATATTCTTGCTGCTGCCATAAAAAATCTAAGTAGTTCGGATTTTGCTTTTTGTACCGAGCCCGGAAAAATTGAAAGAAGAGCTATTTTAGGTGATGGATCTACTCTAGTGCCCGCTATCTGGCTGTAAGTTTCAAACACATATTCCCAAAAAGGCATTATATGTTCACATTTCTACCCTAAAATATAAGAGATCAGGTTGTGCCAAGTAAATAGATACCCAACATGCCAAGCTTAATGCCAAGCTTAATTTCATGCGTCTGTGAAACGGTGAAAAAAACGGTACATCGAATGTCCATAGGCGATGCTTTAAAAGTCTGTACAGTCCTCAGTTTAGAATTAACTGTGAATATTTGCGCTAGAATTATTGCTCTCTGGTGCATACATTGATACCTAACGTGTGGCATAATCATCGTTTTTGTACGTAGGCACACCCGATGTGTGTTCAGGTGGACGGGTAACTTTCTGGGGGTTATTTATACATTTATCCTGTTTAACTTTTTTTTTTAAACTTTTTTTTTTTTTTTTTTTGCCCAAAAGCCCCCTATGTGATAGCACATTGAGGGTGACAGTTCTCTTTCAGGTGTCACCTTTGCACTTCAAAGAAGCTGACCAAGCACAGTTCTTACTTAATCAGCTCCTTCCCTGGCTCCTGTAGCCGTGGAATGACAGCTGAGAAGCCAGAAGTGATGCAATCAGCATCGCTTCCGACTGCATTCAGCGGGGAGGAGATCAGTGAATGGACACTTGCTGGTCTTTCCCCAGGCACCACAGTTGGCTTTTTACAGGTAAACAGACTCCCGTTGGCCAGATATAAACTCTGGGCTAAAGAAAGCAAAATTGCAATGCCCCCCCTTGCACTGCAAGGGTTAAATGCTCATTTATGCTTAGGGTACCAGGACTTTTTTTTTACTTACCTTATGCGTTGCCCCTGCAGGCTCCCTCCACACTTTAAGAAGGGCCCCCACAGCCTCTTCTCTGATGCTTCATTGGTCGCAGGCAATATGATGTCATCAAGTACAGTGTAGGGCCCACAGCCATGCATTGTATGTGAGGATGTCCGGGGGAACCTGCAACATGAAGCGTCGGGCAAGAGTTAAGTGCCAGCTGCCGGGAGGAGCGAGGAAATGGTAAGAAAGTCCTTTTTTTAAATTTTTTATTATTTCTGGTACCATAGACATATACAAGCATTTAACCCTTGCAGTGCCGGGAGAGCCCCTCTACATGGGTATTTTTTTTTTTCTTTACCCTGTAGTTCAGCCTTAATACAAGCTGTGTAAGTACTTGAATTAGACTTTGTATCAGACTCTTGCAGCACCTTTTATAGCAGTGCTCAGACTGGGAGAAGACGAACAGCACAAGGAACCACTCAATTGTGCTGCAGTGCTCATGTGCTGAAAAGGGATATGCTGATGGGATGAAAGAGCAGAGTGACGGAGAGAGAAAAATCAGGTCACCTGCTCTGCCAGACAGTGCTGTGTGGCAGAGTTAAGTAAATCCCAAGAGTGGATGAACAGAAATACAGATCTGTCAGGTAAAACGGCATATCACAATGTACCACATACTACGTGTACTGTTGCCTTGCTCATCATTCTGAATGGCATCCCAAGGCACCTCCCAGCAGGCATGCATTGTGCTGCAAAATGGGGTACCACAATAGCGTTCCTTGCATGCACAAAACTGAAATGACCAGACCTAACATGTGTGTGTGGAGGGGAGGTGCAGGGTACAGTTCCAGTGGTTGTTTATATAATGGGGGGGGGCGAAAAAAAATTTCTGCCCCGGGCGCCCAGAACTCTGGTTACGCCACTGCAGACCCCATGTTGGTTTATGGGGAATCAGATGTAAACGGACATGTGTCCATTTACATTAGATTACCCCTGATCCAGAGCCGTATCTAGCTCCTTTTGCGCCCGAGGCAAGAACAAAAAGCAGACCCCGGATATTTTCCTTTTGAAATAGAAATTGAGGACACCGAGCCCTCAATTTTTTTTTCTGCAGACCTGACAATGACCGTTCGCTGACACCCACAGCCGCGGCTGCAACAGCCCTGTCTATTGCCGACACCGCCGGGTTCCCCCTGGTTCTCCTCTACACCGCACATAGCCCACATTTCCCTAACGGCACTACGGACAAGGTCCCCTCTTCTCGCTCACACCCTTCTGTGGATGTACTCCTCTAAGCAGCACACCAGCCAAAGTCGGACACACATCACGAGTGTTCTGATCCTCCATATTGACCGTCCATCTCTTGATCCCGGGATTCACACGTAAGTGCCACCACCTTGATTTTCCGTTAAATCTTGTTCAGCCAGCCAGTGTTTTTTGCGCCCTTTTTTTGTTCTTTTGATTATCTGCATTTACAGGTTCTCCTCCTGTTTCCCAGGGCTGCATACATGTCTGCAAGTTAACTCTTCCCATCCGAGAGCGCTCCATATGTTTTTTCTGTTTTTCTAAATAAATGGAGAGCACTCAGTAGAGAGGCTTCCTATTCATTCAGAAACTGGAGATAGTAAAAATGTACCAGTTATCAATCGATAGTGAGTGCTACTACCCATTCAGAAACTCATGATTAAACAGGAAGTAATGTAAAGCACTTCCTGTTCATTCATAACTGGGAACACATACTATGTGTCCCCAGTTGTTTACAAACATTGCAGTGATCAGATGATAACTCCAGTGTTTGCTCTGCCCACAGGGGATCGGTAAATATCACTGATATTTACCGATCCTCGCGCTCTCCATCCTGAACCATACGGGCAGGCACAGCCTGCAGCTTCTCCTCGGATCCACGCTGCTCTCCCACTGCCTCTATGGGCAGATGTAGCAGGGATCCAAGGAGAAATTAAGTGCTGAAGGAGGGAGTGCCACTGCAGTATGGCCGAGTGGTGAGGAGAGAGAGCCACTGGCTTGTCAGATCCTGGCCAAGCGTCTCACTCTCATCTCACCACTCGGCCATCCTGGATGACCGCTGCCTCCTCCCCTCTGGCACTGACTGTGCCCCCTTTAAAAGCTGTGCCTCGCCCTTCCTACGGCCCTGCCCCGATCCAGCAAGACCGGGTCTTTTGGAACGGGACACTGTTCCGTTTTATCTTTTACCGGATCTGGTTGGGGAAACTAGCATTGGGCATGTGATTTGGGTTTGCCTGAAAATCTGACAGATGGACCTGATCGGACCACCGATGTGAAAGGGCTCTTAGCTTAAGGCTCCATTCACACCTAAGCATCAGCGTAGGGCTGCAACTAACTATTTTCATAATCGATTAGTTGACAAAATTGAAAAAAAAAATATTATTTAAAATAAACGGAGTGTTAGAAAAAAAGTTAACTTCAGAATAAAACGGTATGCACGCTTTTTGCTGTCGCACTGCACTAGAATGTATGACATTGCAGTACCACGTGTTCCAGTGCAAGTGATCACACTGCAGGCAGAAGGGGTGTTTGGGATACCATTGAAATTAATGGCAGCA